CAAGCGCAACTAGGCCCACAAACCAGACTGCAAGACTGACCCGCAGGAAACCCGCGACGCTTCCAATTGCCCCGAAAGGCAAGGCGTTGAAGCCTATCAGTCTGATAGCGCTGCCCACTGGCGACCGGACAGCCATGTGAAGGTGGTCCCTGTCGGAACCATGCACCGCAAATTGCTTGTACGCGCTCTTCAGATCGTAGCACCTTCCAACTAGACGACGGTTGGCCCGAGAGCGAAAAAGCCGTTTTTCAAGCAGCTCTGAGTATGGTAGTCGTAAAAAATAGTCGGTGATAGGTTGGTGAATTTTATATGAGCTATGGAGGGGTAAGTTGTGAAAAGTAAGATTGATTAACAAGAGGATACATGTGACAACCCATGCATATGCACTGTGCTGCTTGGTAAAGGGCATCATATGACACGTGTCTTGCAACCACAGAGAGACATAGATAGAGAGAAAGGGGGAGAGAGAGAGAGAGAGAGGGAGAGAGAGAGAGAGAGAGAAAGAGGGAGAGAGAGAGAGAGAGCAGGGTCTTCTGTTGTTAGTATTGAGACACTATATTGCAAGACAATATATTAAAGATGTATTTTAGGCAGGCGAGACAAGTAGTATCAAGACAATATATTACAAGTACAAAACACTAGTTTGCATCCTATCCTTCGTATTGTTTTTCACACGCAGACGCTTTTGCACAGAAGCTGTTACACACAGACGCATTTACACACAGACGCTTTTACACACAGAAGCGTTTACACACAGACGCTTTTACACACAGAAGCTTTTACACACAGAAGGTTTTACACGCAGACACTAGACCCTTTTACACACAGACGCTTTTACACACAGACGCCTTTACACACAGACACTAGACACTTTTACACGCATAGGCTTTTACACACAGACGCTTTTACACGCAGATGTTTTTAGACACACACACACTTTCACACACAGAAGCTTTTACACACAAACACTTTCACACACAGAGGCTTTTACACAGAGGCTTTTACACACAGACGCTTTTACACAAAGAAGCTTTTACACACAGACTCCTTTACACACAGACGCTTTTACACACACACACAGACGCGTTTACACACAGAGGCTTTTACACACAGACGCTTTTAAACACAGACGCTTTTACACGCAGACGCTTTTATACACAGGCGCTTTTACAGGCAGATGCTTTTACACGCAAAGACTTTCACAGACGCGTTTACACACAGACCCTTTTACACACAGACCCTTTTACACACAGACGCTTTTACACACAGAGACTTTTACACACAGAGGCTTTTACACACAGAAGCTTTTACACACAGAGGCTTTTATACACAGAAGCTTTTACACACAGACACTTTTACACACAGACACTTTCACACACAGGCGCTTTTACACACAGACGCTTTTACACACAGACACTTTTACACACAGACGATTTTACACACAGGCGCTTTTACACGCAGGTGCTTTTACACACAGAAGCTTTTACACACAGACACTTTTACACACAAACGCTTTTACACACAGACCCTTTTACACACAGACCCTTTTACACACAGACGCTTTTACACACAGAAGCTTTTACACACAGAGAGGCTTTTACACACAGACGCTTTTACACACAGACGCTTTTACACACAGACGCTTTTACACACAGACGCTTTTACACACAGACGCTTTTACACACAGAAGCTTTTACACACAGGCGCTTTTACACACAGACGCTTTTACACACAAACGCTTTTACACACAGAAGCTTTTACACACAGAACTTTTTACACACAACACTTTCACACACAGAGGCTTTTACACACAGAAGCTTTTACACACAGCCGCTTTTACACACAGACGCTTTTACACACAGACGCTTTTACACACAGAAGCTTTTACACACAGGCGCTTTTACACACAGACGCTTTTACACACAAACGCTTTTGCACTTTTACACAAAGACGCTTTTACACACAGACGCTTTTACACACAGACGCTTTTACACACAGACACTTTTTACACACAGACGCTTTTTACACACAGACGCTTTGACACACAAACACATTTACACACAGAGGCTTTTACACACAAACGCTTTTACACAAACACTTTTACACACAAACACTTTTACACACAGACGCTTTGACACACAGACGCTTTGACACAGACGCTTTTTTACACACAGCCACTTTTACACACACAGACGCTTTTACACACAGACGCTTTTACACACAGACGCTTTTACACACAGAAGCTTTTACACACAGTAAAATCGCAATTTTTCCTCAGTTTTTGACGTCCAACGTCCATTTCGTGTGTAAGGGTTGCGATTGACCAAGTAAAATCGCAATTTTTCCTCAGTTTTTGACGTCCAACGTCCATTTCGTGCGAAAGGGTTGCGATTGACAACTCAAAGTCGCAATTTTTCCTCAGTTTTTGACGTCCAACGTCCATTTCGTGCGTAAAGGTTGCGATTGACACCTCAAAGTCGCAATTTTTCCTCAGTTTTTGACGTCCAACGTCCATTTCGTGCGTAAGGGTTGCGCGGGACACCTCAAAGTCGCAATTTTTCCTCAGTTTTTGACGCCCAACGTCCATTTCGTGCGAAAGGGTTGCGATGGACAAAGTAAAATCGCAATTTTACCTCAGTTTTTGACGTCCAACGTCCATTTCGTGCGAAAGGGTTGCGATGGACAAAGTAAAATCGCAATTTTACCTCAGTTTTTGACGTCCAACGTCCATTTCGTGCGAAAGGGTTGCGATGGACAAAGTAAAATCGCAATTTTACCTCAGTTTTTGGCGTCCAACGTCCATTTCGTGCGAAAGGGTTGCGCGGGACACTTCAAAGTTGCAATTTTTCCCCAGTTTTTAACGTCCAACGTCCATTTCGTGCGAAAGGGTTGCCGGCGACGCTTCAAAATCGCAATTTTACCTAGGTTTTGGACGTCCAACGTCCATTTCGTGCGAAAGGGTTGCGTTTCGTGGCGCTCCGGCGGCACCGCCCCCGCCTTAAGAGAGAATAGAAGAAGAGCGAGAGGAGATCTGCAGATGTGAAGGTCTGAAGATCTAGATCTGCAGGTGTGAGGGTGCGAAGATCTAGATCTGCAGGTGTGAGGGTGTGAAGATCTAGATCTGCAGGTGTGAAGATCTAGATCTGCAGGTGTGAAGGTGTGAAGATGTAGATCTGCAAATGTGAGGGTGTGAAGATCTACATCTGCAGGTGTGAGGATGTGAAGATCTAGATCTGCAGGTGGGAGGGTGTGAAGATCTAGATCTGCAGATGTGAGGGTGTGAAGATCTAGATCTGCAGATGTGAGGGTGTAAAGATCTAGATCTGCAGGTGTGAAGGTGTGAAGATCTAGATCTGCAGATGTGAGGGTGTGAAGATCTAGATCTGCAGATGTAAGGGTGTGAAGATCTAGATCTGCAGATGTGAGGGTGTGAAGATCTAGATATGCAGGTGTGAAGGTGTGAAGATCTAGATCTGCAGGTGTGAAGGTGCGAAGATCTAGATCTGCAGGTATGAAGGTGTGAAGATGTAGATCAGCAGATGTGAAGGTATGAAGATGTAGATCGGCAGATGTGAGAGTGTGAAGATCTAGATCTGCAGGTGTGAAGGTGTGAAGATCTAGATCTGCAGGTGTGAAGGTGTGAAGATCTAGTATAACGGCTGCTTTTTTACGAAGAACCCTTCGCAGGCGCTCTCGGGAATAATCTATACCATCTCATTTCATTGTAGGAATTCCCATACAAATCCTCAAAAAAGGAGTCGGTATCGTGATGTTCCAAATCAGATATGTTACATTACTTTACTAAGGACATTTGCACAAAATACTGCAAAACAAAGTCGGTAAGAAAAAATATCGTCAACATTTTCCGTTTCGACCGCCCCAAAGCAAGCAGTCCTGCATACAATTCAGGTAACATACTCCGCGAAATTTCAAACTTCTTTGCAGCATACTCACCAGTGTAAAAACCAACATTCATCATATCTCTTGCAAGGTCCACAAGAATGCGATCAAGCGCCTTTCTCATCGTCTGCATCTTCTTATGCTCCGTGTCCAAAACACGACCCATGCATTGCTTCTTCGGCGGCGGATCCGAAGCATCCAACTCAGTCGACACAGGTTGCTCTGCATGTGAGGCATCAGCACCCGATATAGCATCCGAAGACGAACCAAGCGCCGGGCGTTGAAGTTCCATCTCCTGCAATCCACTCCCGGACAGTTCCAACAGAGAAGATGCAGAAGCAGGAGGAACTTCGACTCCAGGCTCCTGGTCTATGCTCCCATCACAAAACTTCAAAAGGTCTGCTTCTGAAAAATTGCGTCCAATGTACTTGACATCCACATTGCATCGCATCACTGCTTGCGCCACCGGGTTCGACATCCCTTCAAAAGGGTGATCACGCCGAGCTTGAAACACATGCGGGTTTTCGTTTTTGAACTCTTCAACCTCCTTCAAATCTACTGTCTCATATTGCAACCGAGAAAAGCCTGCTTTCGCAACTCGAGGCCAACCTTTCCGACATAACACTTTCGGCTTGTCCTCCTTGCCCAGAATCATTTCAACGTGAAAGCAACCAAAGCGACACCCACGTTTGCCTTTCACGGCTTTCCTCAGCCAAAGCAACATGTCGTGTTTACATATACATACTTCTTCACGTTGACAGCCAACTATGCACGTTGTACACTCCAGACATCTCTTTTCCATTCCACACAAAAATGTTTTACGCTAACTGATACCGTAACAGCAACCGTGCAACATGTAAACGAACAACAAAAGCCATGACCAAGCCGAAACCGCACGTAACTCAAAAATAACGACAACAAACAACCACACCCACAACCACAACCACAACCAAAACAACAACCACGACAACAACAACAACAACCACCACAACTTTGCCAAGCTCATTGCGAGGAACTTTTTGTAACATGATTTCGTGCATTTGTGAAAATGATTCTGGATCACCAAACGTCTGTAATCCTCACAGAATTTTTTCTTCCACTCAAGACCATCTCCCGCAGAACGTTCACTGCGTCGCAGATACTTGGGTCGCAAAGAAGCATAGCATCCGGTCAATGTCAAAACCTTGCCAGCCACGGATCCGCCCAACTTCAAAGCTTCCAATTCGTGTCCATCCGGCTCCGTAGGCACCAAAGGCGCGGATTCATACTGGTGACCACATTCTGATCGCTGACGTTCATTCAGAGGCAGTGGCTCTGTCGGACTGCTCAACTGCTCCGACAAGGCCAATTGAGAATCATACTGAAAACGCTGCACAGCCTCCAAAACACGACGACTCCACCGCTGCAACTCAACGACCAACTCACCATGCTGCACTCGATGAATCAGTTTCCGCAAGCGATCTCCCAGATCGTGTCCCAGCAAGATAATAAGCATGTGGGGGTGCAAAGAACCACGACCCTGAGTCTCCAACGGGCCGTTCAACGCCACAATATCACCGAAAACACCTCCTTGCAGGGAACTCGCAATGCCATCTTCGAAGGTTGCTGCCACGCCAACACGAAAACTTCCCTTGGTCAAAGGTGGAAGAATGCCCAACACCTCCTCACAGAACAAATCCATCATCAAGGCAAAGCAACGCGCTTGAGCGACGGGATCGCTCGCGACAATCCGTCGCATAGCAGCTGCGCTGGGCAATTCGGGCATCTCCGCCTCCCAGTCCAAATCAATTTTGCACTCTTCCACTTTGACATTCTGCAGGTGCAATTGAAGTAGCAAGGACGAGCGCATATCTGCGATGTTGGGCGTGACGAACAAATGCGCAGAACCATAATGCCACCCAGCCGCATGTCCACGCAACCGGATCTGGCTGCGGTGCCCTTCCATGCCAATGATGCTCGAAGTTGCCTGAAGCACTCCTCCCAATGCTCGCTTCAAGGCCACATCCACCTGCGGATCTCGCAGCAACTCCCCGAGGTCCGCATTGTCTCCATGCAATGCCATTGCCTTGAGCAATTGGTCCGTGTTGACTTCAGAAATAACACGACAATGTTTGCCAAAGCCACGACGCATCACATGCGCTTTCGTCGCACGCATCAACTGCAATCGACGCTGCACGTCGTACATCACTGGAAGCTCCTGCCCGCATACTTGGAACAAATGCGACAAAACTCAAAAACTGAAACCACCAAAACACAACCACCAAACCATCCTGGGAAAACAGAAAACTCAGCAACAATTGAATAAACCAAATCCAAAGCACTGAAAGCGACCATCTTGGCAACAAGGCATCACCCTCACTGTAATGCAGTTCTTCCCGAAGCAACAAATATCGAAACACTTCTGTTGCATCCATGTTGGCTTCACGCTTCAAAAAAGGCAAGCCATCACCCCATGGAAACAAATCCGGAAACGACATGCCCCAGGTGGCCGGATCAAACATCGACAGCGGTTCGTCTCTGGTCGGAACAACCAACTTGGAAGGTTTGACTTGGAACATAGCTGATTCCACATTCCGCTCATTTTCAGCCGTGCCACGGGCAATCTTCTGAATTCTCCGAATTTTTTGAAATGTTCGCCTCTCTTGGGCTCCTTCACGACCCAAAAGTTCACCAGGAACAGATGCATCCGGGGCCGGCATTTCATTGTTGATGCGGTTGCGAAGCACATCGGCAGCATCGCTCCTTCGCCGCCCACCCTGTCTCACACAGACCTCCTCCACATCCTTCAACACACGCACCCACTTGTTCTGTTCATCCGCACCATCGTTCAAGCCAACAATGGAAGACATCAAATGACCTGCAATGTTTGCGTGAGTGGGTTTTCCATATTTACTTTCACACACACAAAACAAAATGGTTCCGAAACGCAGACGTTACAAAGCAAAACTCGATATTAACATCGTTTTCGATCGCTTCATTCGGACAGTCCCTACATGAAGCAACGAATACAACCAAATTCACTTCCGAACCCTGCCTGGTGCATCTAGGCCTTCACGCTGCTTCATTCGGACAGTCCCTACCATGAAGCAATCACCTGCACCTGCAATGTGTGCGCGAGTTTTCCATATTTACTTTCTGCCACACAAAACAAAATGGTTCCGAAAGGCAGACGTTACAAAGCAAAACTCGATATTAACATCGTTTTCGATCGCTTCATTCGGACAGTCCCTACCATGAAGCAATCAATAAAACCAAATTCAATTCAGAACCCTGCCTGGTGCATCTAGGCCTTCACGCTTTTCTTCACTCGCATCGTCCATCTTCTCATCATCCGACGCGTCTTGTCCCTGTGCGTCTGCAGGACCTCGCTGCAGCAACTCCTGCGCCAATGCAGAATCCTCCGCAGTTTCCAGGACACAGCCCTCCAAAAGATCATCACTGCCATCTCCCAGTTCCACCTCCGCATAGAAAGGATTCGTTTTCCTCAAACATTCAACAGCGGCAGTGTACTCATCTCTCGGGGCACGCAACAAAGAAGAGCCCTTGACTGCATCCTTCTGGCTTCCAACCAAAACAAACAAAACTGCATCTTGCATATCAACATCTTTTGGAGGGAGCGTGGTCAGCACTGAAGACGGCTTTGCTTGCGGGAGAAAAATCGAATTCCCTACAAAGCCATGCTGACGTTCCTCACGCGACAAATGCCCGGGCTGCAATACCACAACCTGCATGCACGCCCGTGTCATCGGCAAAAGTCGCTTCGTGGCCGAGGCCAGGCCACGCAATGCGGACAGTTGCTCGCCCATCCAAAGGTCATTGGCCAAGCTGTGCCGAGGCAACGTCAGACTAGATGACATCAACGAGCCCTTGCAGTCACTGCACACCAGGCAAGGATCCTGCAATTGCAGTGACATCCGAACATATTACTAGAACTTCACCCAAAAAAAATCGAGTAATCCGATGCCGTGAACAGAAAATCTTAGCTCATTGTATACTGAAGCACAAATTCATACAATTAGCTACAAACAAGTTGGTACCGTGATCCCTCAATGAAAGCAACAAACCCGTGCAGTCAGTGGTAAGGGTCCTTCAAGTCCACCGGCATCCGACGCTTGTGTAAGAGCAAATGCTCCCCCTTGCAGTATGGATGTTCAACAGCCGAAGCATGCAGAGCCTCCAAAGGGATCTTCGGCCATCTTCGACTGTATCTTTCAACTCCAAGAATTCGACACAAGCGTTCCTGTTGACCACACGGAATCACATCCACCGCACCGTTCTCCATCTCGGTGCTGCCAGCCGGATCTTGGAATAAGATTAACATCTTCAGCTGCTCCCGCCAAAACCTGCGAGCACACACCACGCATGCAGTTTCAAAGCGACCTCCTTGCTCGGGCTGTCGAAGCCTTTCATCAGCATTCTCCATGAGCCGACGTTGCGAAGCAAAGCTGGTGACCTGATGCATCACTTCATGAAAACATCATCAGCAAATCTCAGTACCATGACATCTCACATCAAACATGTAACACTACCCTACTCCGATCGTGTTAACAGAAATACAACACAAAAAGCTCAGTACCCCGACGCCGTGAATTAAAACTATTACCTCACTTTATGATACAAATTCCACACAAATAGCTACAAAAAGCTCACTACCCCGATCCCACAAAAGGTCAGCGCAGACAAGAAACTGTGGGGCCCAAGTGTGTCAATAGTCCAATGACCTTCTTACGATACTCGATGAGCACACGGCTGGCATCGGCACCTCCACTGTGTTTCTCCACTAAATGTTCCAAAAACTCTTTCTGTCCGCCAGTTCCAAACTTGCACAGTCTGCACTGGTAACGCTCCAGCGGATTCTGAACATCATCATCATCATAAGACCATAACACAAGGCGAGACAGCGCTTCACCAATAGCAGTGATAGCTGGACTGCAGTCCAACATCTGCGCAACTTCACGCAGCTTGATCTCAAACTTCATATTCACATTTTCCAACACAGCAAATGCTTTCTTGGCAACTTGCAAATTCTCTGGCAAGGCCTCCATAGCAATGCCCGCAGCAACATCCATCTCCACATCTGCCTCCTCAGCAACTTCCACACATGAAGAGCCAGTGCTGTCAGGAACAACTGCATTACCATCCCCTTCCACATCCACCTCCGGAACACATTCCACAACAGAAGTGCCAGCGCCGAAAAGGATGGCACTCAATGGCACAAAAGCGGCCTTGCAAAGAGTTCCTTCAGTCCACCCAGGAATCGACTGCATCAAGTTCCGTTCCGTGTCGGATCTCCATTTGATACCATTCTCTGCATCATCCGAAGCTTCCAAACAATCCAACTTCAACTCCTTGATGTTGTCCACATCGCCAGGGAATGCAGCTTTCATGGAACGACAGCGCACCTTCTTCTCCTTCTCCAAATACTCCGACACCCGCTTGAACAGCACACCGTCTTCATCTGAAGTCGGCAACCGCAAGCACTGCTGCACTTCCTGCCATTGTCGTATATCCAGTTCCAATTGAACGACAACCGGAGACACGCCGCTCCTGTACATATCGATGCAGTTCAATTGATGCCCCTCCTGTACACACGATGTCATAATCAGTATGCAATTCCTCGAGATCTCACGGACAGCCCCTACAGAAACCTCGAGAAGATATCTCTGATGATCTCGAGATATATTGGCTACCATGATCACGCGCATGATGTATAAATAACATACGTTATCTCATTCATCGCGCAAACAAAAAAAGCTCGGTACCATTATGCTTTACATGAGCAATTCTGGAGATCTCACGGACAGCCCCTACAGAGACCTCAAGAGATGCAACAAATGTTGAAGATATTTGTTTGTCGATCCTTGGTATTTCACAAACATGATGCCATCTATGACATATGTCATGTCATTTTATTATGGACATTTCCCCATAAATGGGACAAAACAACTCGGTACCATGATGCCGTGTATAACACATGATAATTCATTTTAGCATGCAAATACCCGCATAAATTGCCAAAAAAAAACGCGGTACCATGATGTTGTTATTCGCAAAGGTGACAAAGGTAAGAAAAGTACACAAAACACACAACAACGACACGCACTCGTCCTGGAATCACGGAGTTCTCCGACCGTCACTGGATCGTGACGTGAGCGCATAGCTTGCAATGCAGGCGTCTGGCGAGGATGAAGTAACTGCGTCAGCAAAAGCCAAGCAAACTGTAAACACTTCTTGTTCCCATAGCGAGCAGATGGAAAACATTCGGACCAATAGCACTCCTCCACGTCCTGGTCAAATCTTTCCCAACCATATCTCCGCATCAGGCATCGCAGGTACGTCGCGTCTGCAGCATCCAACTTACCTCGACGCCGGCGCACCTCGCCCTCATCATCCACCACCAACGCTTTCGTGCCCCACAGGATGCCAAGGACCACCTGCAAGCAACGCAAAGACCAAACCACCGCGAACCGGCAAGACACAAAAAAAAAACTAACGCAGGCCATACAATAGTTTCGACAACCACTCACCTCCACCACATTGTCACGATCCTCATAACCACCAGAACTGTCCCATTCACAAGCAGCTGTAAGTGTGTGGACATCCCACAAACGGCTCGCCACTTCCAACATGTCCGCGTCGATGGTGAACCCAACCAAACGACACCATTGAAGTCGTCTTTCTTCCGATACACTCAGCAAAACACAGGACAACAATGCCACGACCTGATGCCGCAGCAAATGCTCCATGCCAATGGAGGCGAAGTAACCTGGTAAATCCAATAAATCAACAGAATCCGTGACAGCTTTGCTGGGCCACGATTGCTGCACTTCATCGAAAGTAGCAAGAAGCGGCAACGCCGCATCCACCACACGAGCATCCAAAGAAGCAAGCGAAAGATGCAATCCCTCCACCTGACCCATGGTCTTGTCGGCCAAAACCGCCAAAATACGCATGCGATCTTTTTGTTCTGGAACAGCATCTCGAAGCAATGTAGTATCAGGCGCCGCAGGACTTTCCAAACATCGTTTCAGCCAGCCCCACAAGACACTTGCACCAGATGCAAGGGTATCATCGTGACACGGCTCCTGCTAAAAATAAAAATAAAAAAAAACAGCCGCACTTGACGTTTTTGCAATGCCGACAATCTACAATTGCCGGCATAATCACTATTCAATTCTCGAGATCTCACAAACAGCTCCTATAAAAACTTCAAGATGCCTTTTTTTATTGCACCCAACCTCCGTGGAAGTCGCCAAGACTTTCATCAACGATCTGCGCAGCTCTGCTACAGGCAACCAATTCCGGTTGGAATGTGTCTCCACACCACCCGCAGTGGCCAGGACTCGAAGCTCCTCTGCAGGTATTTTGTACAAAGCACGATGGAGCCACTCCTCACCCTCTGAAACAGCTCCAAGGTGAAGTTCTTCCAATTTGGCAGCCGATGCTTCGTCCACCTACAGCATGGAACACACCGCCACCACAAAACAACCATCATCCTACATTTTTTCCCGCTCCTCATGCATATCAATGAAATAATAACACATAGATCCACTACATCACAAACGAAAATTGGCATGATCACTATGCAATTCTCGAGATCTCACGGACAGCCCCTACAGAGACCTAAAGAGATGCAACAAATGTTGAAGATATCTGTTTGTCGATCCCTGGTATGTCACAAACATGATGCCATGTCTCACAAACATGCAAATTCGGTCACAAAAACAACTCATGTCACAACACATTTTTTGGTTGAACCCAACCTCCGTGGAGGGTTCCAAGA